AGCTCCTCATGTGCTCTCTGTTTAAAGCCGGTGCGCTCACAGCGCTCACTGGCTGAGCATGGTGCGGCCGGTCTCAAAAAGGACAAAAAAACCTATTTAGCTTTAACTTACTCTTTTTCAAATTTATTTGACTGTGAAATCTCTTTCACAGAACACCTATTAATATCCCATTGAGCACACTTTAGGAAACATTACTGTAAATGTAGGAGATATTAAAAGGAGTTTATGTAAACTGTTGTCTTCAATGTGTAAATTAACATTGAAATAAGACATTTTCTTGTTATTTTAAAAGGTTTAATGCAAATACTATTTTTTAAAGTTCTCTGTATAATTTGAATGAGTTTTGAAGTTCTCACACTCTAACTTTATTTACAGCATGATGAAAGCATTCGAAGGCACATGGAACAGATTGAACAAAGAAAAGAAAAAGCTGCTGAGTTAAGTAGTGGACGACATGCAAATACTGATTATGCCCCCAAACTGACCCCTTATGAAAGAAAGAAGCAGTGTTCTCTCTGCAATGTCCTGGTAGGTTGTCAATATCAGTATTGTGGTGATATATTATAATTTATTACTAAAGTTTATGCCATCAGGGAAACATATTCTTCCAGTCTTTAAAACTCATACTAAGGCATCTGCTGATTGCCATGGATTTCCTTCATGATTTTGAAGAAAAAGTAAGAAGTATAAATAATTAGGAATTTAGGAATTTAATTAGGAATTTAACTGCATTTAGGAATAGCAATGCCAAGTGCCAAAGGATGCAGTTGCTATTAAAATGGATGTTTGTTTACCTGCTTAATGATAGCCCAAGTCAATATTTTGGGTATTAGAACCAAAAAAGAAAAGCAACATTTTCAGTGCTAAGACTTGAACCTTCAAACTTAGAGAAAATAACTTCTTCTTAGGCTGGCTATGATGAATGACATGCCTTTTTTGACCATGTGTTTTCTAAAGGATTCTCATAATTGTGTTCTAAGGAAAATATTTTTTAAGTCTCATATGTAAATGCTAAAGTGATCTCAATTTTCATATAGTGTGCTTGATTGAATGTGTAATATTTAAAATTAGATATAATGGTATATTGATTGCATTGCTTTGATTTTATGCTCTTAGATCTCCTCAGAAGTGTATCTTTTTAGCCACATTAAAGGCAAAAAACACCAGCAAGCTGTGAGAGAGAATAGCAGCATCCAAGGGCGTGAACTTTCAGATGAAGAAGTGGTAAGATTTACTTTTATTCATTTACAGTTATTTATTGATTACCTAGTATGTGTTCTTTTATTATAAATAATTCCATGTTTATCTATTTCTCTGATTTAGAACTGTATTTAGCACTTAATAACTATTAATATATAGTGTAAAAATGTCATTATTTTAGTATTAATATTAACTTAAGAAATATAGAAACAAGACTTTAATGCTGTTATTTATATGATTTCTGTGCAAGAAAAGTTTAGGGTATTTTGATATTTTAATAATGCAAGAAAGGAATTACTTGGTGATGCATCAGATTTCTTAGAAAACTGTTAACAATATAAATTTCATATAAATTTACCTATTTTTGATCAGTTAACCATTTAGTAATTTTTGGAAATGCATTATTTGTTTACTTACAATTGTTGTTTACATTGGATTTGGATTTGTATAAACATGTTTATAAATATTTTTGTTTAATTGTTATTGAGACTTGGATGACATAATTAGATAATCTATGGATTTTTAAAATTGTTTATAATAGAAAATTTCTAAAGCTACTGAAGAATGGAAAATTCAGGTTCGTCAATCATCTCTTAAGATATCCAGGAAAGATTATTGTGGGTTTTTCTTGGAAGAATGCAGTACCTGTGTGTAGGAGCATGTATATGTTTAATTTTTTTTTTTTTTTTTTTGAGGTATGGCATATATATTAGTCTGTTTCTGTTGCTTGTAACAAAATATCTGGAACGCTTGGAAGAATGCAGTACCTGTGTGTAGGAGCATGTATATGTTTAATTTTTTTTTTTTTTTTGAGGTATGGCATATATATTAGTCTGTTTCTGTTGCTTGTAACAAAATATCTGGAACGGATTAATTTGTAAGAAAATGAAATTTATTGCTTACAGTTTCAAATGTTGGGAAGTCCAAAGTCCAGGGAACACACCAGTGAGGTGACTCTACAGCAATGCAAGGTGTCACTTGGTGAGAATAGTGGATCAGAGAGAGAGATAGCTCCTCATGTGCTCTCTGTTTAAAGCCCTCGCAACCATGCCCACAACCACCATTAAACCATCAAATTATTATTCCATTTACTAGGGTGTCCCGACCCGTGGGATATTAAACGCAGACCCTGGAGGGGGGAGTGGCAGACCCTGGAGGGGGGAGTGGCAATTGGATGGGACAAGAGACGGGAGAAATGGAGACAAGACAGTATTCTGATCAAGTCTTGTTTATTAGCCAGAAGGTCACAGCTTATATAGCCAGCCGGAGGGAATCAGCAGATAAGGAAGTGAGCAGCAGATGGTTTACTGAGAAAACCGCAGGGCGGGTTGTTCCAGTACATGGAAAATTCCCATTATCTATGGCAAGTTGCAAAGTTACCTACACCCATAGTGCACAGGAGGGGGAGGGACGGAAGATAACAGCAAACAAGGCTCTGAGGCCTCGAGGCAATAGCTGGGCAGGCTCTTTGGCTCCGGACAGGCAGGCAGCCGGGCTCTATGGCTCCATGGCTCCGGACACTAGGGCATGGTCTTCACTATCTAATCATCTCTTCAAGGACCCACCTTGTAATTACCATAATAGGATTTCCCAGTCTTAACACTGTCACAGTGGAGTTAAGCTTCTAATACATGGACACAAATTCAATCCACAGCAGTATACATTAAGTACACTGTATTAGTCCATTTTCTGTTGCTTTTAACAGAATACCTAAAACCGGGTAATTTTTAAAGAAACAATTTGTTTCTTACAGTTTTAAAGGATGGATGGTCCACAGTCCAGGGGCACATCTGGTGAGGTCTTTTGGGTGGGGACTAGCTAAAGTACACATGATATCAGATGGCAAGAGCAAGAGAGAGCTAACCTTCTCATTTCCTTTCCTTTTAAAGCCACCAGAACCACGCCCATTACTCCAGGAATAGATTGATTAATTCTTAAGGCCACAGTCCTCACAATCTAATCACCTCTTACAGGCCCACCTTTCAAATACCATAATTGGATTTCCTACCCTCTTAACACTGTTACAATGGGAGTCAGGCTTCCAATACAAGAATTTTGGAGGGACACATTTAACCCTTCGTATATACAAATCTCAAGTATATAGCTGATGAATTTTTACATATGTATTTACTGATATTCCACCACTCAGATCAAGATACAGATCATTTCTTGCAGCCCAGGTATTCCCCTTATGCACCCTACCAGTCATATCGCCCAAAGGTTACTACTTTCTGACTTTTAGCACTATCGCTTTGTCTTGCCTGTTCTTGAACTTCATATAGATGGTATCATATAGTGTGTATGCTTGTGGCTCTGACTTCTTTCACCCATCCTTAAGTCTGTGAGAATGTTCCCTATTGTTTATATGAAACTGTAGTTAATTATTTTTCTTAGCTTTTTGTCACTGCCCTCCAGGCAAAGACCACCAGGAACACATATGTAGTTGAATAGAATTGGGTTTATTGATTTGTTAAAAGAAGGATAACACACTCCATGGAGAGTTGTGGAGCTTCTCAATAAGAAGGTACTAGAAAGGGCTTGTTACAGAATTTGTCTTGTGCTAAGTGATTTTGAGGAATGTACAAGGAGGTGAGGCTTTGCCCTGGATTGGATGCTGTCAGGAAGCATGAGTAATTCTGAAGTTGGATTCTTAATAAATTTTGTCTAGGCAGGAGGAATGAAGCATTTTTCTTCTAGTTTTCTGGTTATGACTAATGCTTGAGAATAAATCGCACACCATTATTTGGGCTCATTTATCTGTTATTTCTTCCTTTGAGGAATTTTGGCCGTTGAGTTCTAATCACTTTGACACCTCTAAACTCCAAATTCTGTCTCCTCATCTCACTAAGCTTGCACTATTTTCCTATGCCAAAAATTGATCTTAAGAGAGATCTAGAGTGAATGTAGAGCTCACTTCATGTGCTTCCCTTCTTTTAGAGATCATAGTCTTACTACTTCTGGTTGTGTCAGCTGTTCTTTAATGCCTGAAAATAGTTGCTTTGTGTATGTTGTGCAAATTTTGGAGGTGGAAGATTATTCCAGTACAAGCCAGTTCACTGTGGCTGAAATTGAAAGTCTCCAGTGTTTTAATTCCCGTATATTTATGTTTGACATAATGTTAGTTAAGGTTTTTAATAAATACTCGTTGAGTTGAGTTGAATTGAACTGAAAGTTCATACAGAATGGCTTGAAGGTATCATTGAAGTGGGCCTCAAATTTCTCCTCTGTAAATACCAAGTACTTTTAATAAAAGTGAAATGGAACATCAAATTAATTATCTACTTAGTTTACCTCAAATAAGTTTTTGCATTTTACTCAAATTGTATGAGTATTTTAAAGAGAGATTGGTATGTAATTTTCTTTTACTTGAATCTTTCATGATTATGCCCTTTTTCTACTTGAGTTTGTTATTTAAAACTAGAATCACATGTATGTGTGCTCCACATTGAAGAAGTCCTCAATTAATTATAAAGTAGTAATTCCTATTATAATGGAAACTCTTCCATTAATAAAAATTGTTTGTAATTAAGTTCCCTTAATAAAAGAGCTAAATTTATTAGTCTACAAAAAATTGCTTAAAATCTATCTGGAGTATGCTATTATATAAACCGAAATATGAATTTTATGTGTTTTTTCCAATGATAAAAGGTGAGAAGGAAAGAATATTGGATTCATGTACTTTGGAAGAAAAATGTGCAATGTTATTTAATATTTGTAGCTGTCATAGCAGTCTAATGTTTAGCCATTGTGGTTTGAAGTTTGACTGATGTGTTCATTTTGTGTACTGTTTCAGTTTAAAGGAATTACATTTTCTTAAAGTTCTTTTTAATTCATGTAGTTATTCTTGGTTATAGCCCCTTCGTCCTGAAAACAAGCGTGCAATATAGCATATGAGTTGCGTATTATAGAAAGACAATTTGTAATCAGTGAAGGTGTCTATAGTAAACATACTTTATTTTTAATCAGTGAAGGTGTCTATAGTAAACATACTTGTTCTACTTAAAGTTATTACTTGTCATCTATGATGTCTTTATATTATATATACCTTGTCTGTGACCCTTCTTCTTTGACGTACAAGATTTTATTTATATCACCTCTGACCTCATAAAATTGTACCTTTGACCTTATGCACTTGACATCTCAGATAACTTACTCTTGATCTTTGACACATTTTGTTTTAAGTCTGTTAAGCATAATAAGTAGCTGCCGAGTAAGAAAGCTTTATTGTTTTGTGTTTTTATTATAGTTTGACTGGGGAATTTTTTTTAGTGTTTCCTGAGACTTCACAAAAAGAATTGTGATAGGTTTGATTTTTTTTTTCCCTCTTTCATTATCTTAGAATTCAATTGATAAAAGTATATGATTTTTAAAGGTCAAAAGAGGGTGCTATAGTTTTAAATACATTCTAAAGTCTAAGTTTTTACATGCATTGCAAGAGAAATGATAAAGTATTAGTGTAGTACTTGATTTCTTTGTGGTCCTGTTTTCACACTATCTAAAGAAGCTGAGTAATTTTGTGGAAATTGCATAAAATACATTTAATTCTATATGGAGAATGAAGTTTAAACATTGTGGGTTTTTTCCCCTTCAATTTAGAACCCATGTATTCCTGTTTGTGAGACTCCTTGGCTTTAAAAACATGTAAATTATACAAGCTCTGTTTGTTCCACTGTGTACTTAAATATAGTGAAAAAAATAGTTAATTTTCATTTGATTCCTGAAAGAATGAACAAGACCTTTATAAAGGATCTTAAATTAACTGTAATTTGTTGGATGTTTACAAGCAAGTGTGATTTTACAAATACCAATTTAGTATTTCTCCCTGGAAAGATTATGCTAATTAAGTGATTAAAGGAAAAATGTGTTTAATTAGCAAAAACATAAAGACATCGCTGTATTTTTTTTTTTTT